GAAAGAGACTCTGAAAGTAAGTTTTGCTTTTACTTATTTCCAGGTGTGACAGTAGGGACATCGCTCTAATATTTAAGACAGATTGCTCCACAAGCAACTTGATAGTCCTCTTATTTACTGAAGCTTGCCCAGCACTTGCTATAGAAAGACCTTGCTTGTAAGTGCTTTTAAGCTTGTGAAGTTTGTTTCAGTTAAAAAACCCCCAAAAGTGGCCCACGTGAGGAGAGTGTGACTGAGGGAGCAAAGGGACCTGGCACCAGGGGATTCAAAGTGAGGGGATGTGCAACCAGGCTGTATGGAAAAGGAGTGGTAGCGCTTGAGGATGAGGTGGCTCTGACCAACATCAAGAAGAGCAGCTGATGTAGCCTGGGCTGCAGGACCTTGAGAAAGAGCTGGGGAAGGAGCTGGAGTTTGCAAAAAGATAGGATGCAACGAAGAGAGTGAGTCAGTAAAACTGAAACAGAGTGATATTTATAATTGCTTCTTTTGAAGAGGTGATCTTGGTGCTGCCTGTTTTGACCAGAACTATGATGTTAATATTGTCTATTCAAACTATTTTGCTTGGTAGGATGACAAACAAAGTAAATTCAAAAACAGTCTCAGTTAGCACTTCATTGCTAATGTGACATGTTGAATCTCCTTTTAGCTCTAAATTGGCAATGTTTAAGAGAGGTTTTGGCTATCACTGAAAGAACTGTTTCCATATGCTATGCAGTATAGTTAGTTGGGCAGTCTTGTAGTTACACATATATTATGGAGAAACCTCAAATCCACTGTTAAGAAATTATAAATAACACAGACTTACTAGGTATCTAATCAGAATGAATAAAAACCTTGTTAAATCAAATGCTTATTTCCTAGGAAGAGGCTCCTCTGAAAAGTAACTGGATGATATTTCAGTTAAGGGTCCATGCCAGCCTCTTGGCTATTCATCCATGTTACTAGTGTACGGAGACATTCGTCTCTGCCTTCTTGCCCATTTGTAGGTGAAGCTGTGTGCTCAAGGAGTAAATTGAGTCTCTGATCAGTCCAAGGTGACACAGCAGGTCCCATGCTGTGGGCATCTGCCCTTGGTTTGCCTTGACCTTAGTGGTGTTGGCCAGGAAATACTCCCTCTTTCTCAGCTTCTGTCAGTGGTACAAGATGACAGGAATCAGCTTTAGCAGAGGAGAAGTAAAACTGTTTCAAGCTTCTGTTTTAAACTCCTAGTGATGCAAAACGTGTGTGTTAGCTGGACCCTTCTTAAGAAAACCCTTTTGACCTAGCTGGTAAGAAAAAATACCTTGCTTTTGTCACAGATCCACTATACAAGTGACAGGAGTGCCATGCTCCTGATTTTGATGACTGCAAGTTGATTTTTTTGTTCTCACAAAACTGTCTTTTCAGATAGTTAATAGATACTCTGTATTTCCAGTCATTGATGATAATTTGCATTGACTCCTTTTGTACGACTTGCTGGCAGACAGCTTATATTCTGGTGACTGTGTTCTCAGTGGAGATGACACAAATGAAATTAATGTCTCCCATTGTGGGCTTTGTGACAGGAGGGCTCATGGTCCTTCTTGCTGATCAGCTGTGTACGAGATTGCTGTGTGAGAAAGAACATAAGCAAATTTTCTGATCTGCTAATCAGTTCTAAGATTTGGCAGATAGTGATCTCTGTCCCTCAGTTTCTGTGGGGCTCTGTCATTAGATGAATGCTGTTTTAGAGACTTGTCATTGGTTTAAGTATTTGGGGGTAGTAACAAAAATACTGTTCTGGACCATGGTTTATGCTATTCTTGCCCAAGTCAGAGCTACAGTCTCTAGGCTTTCCTACTGAGTAGTAGGTTCTGGTAACACAGTCATGCTTCAAGTGATGACCTCTCCCTCTCTGGCTCCCTAGTCTATCAATGTGGCCATCAAGAGTAAGATTCCCTGTGTTGTGGTGGAAGGCTCTGGACGGATTGCGGACGTTATTGCTAGCTTGATGGAGGCAGAAGGCACTCTTGCTTCTTCATGTGTCAAGGAGAGCTTGCTCAGGTACCTACCTCGCACCATTTCAAGGCTCTCGGAAGAGGAGACTGAAAGCTGGATCAAATGGGTAAGTGTGTGCTACTGCAGCAAGCTGGCAAGGCTGGAAGTGGGAGAAGAGTAGAGGGACTAGGAGGTCAGGAGCAGCTAGTGACTTCTAAATCAGGGATGTTGCTAGCTGGTGATACCTGTAGGATGCGTGGGGCTCCTTGCCATGATATATCAATGATTCCTTGGATACAAACCAAGCACAGCTTCTGGGAAGTTTAAGCAGCTATTGTTTCTGGCAAGGCCTGAGTCAAATCCTAGTCAGAGCTTGGCAGAGTGTTCCCGCTCCTGCAGTCACCAATAGATTATTTGTTTTCTCTATGCTAGAATGAAAGTGACTTTATAAGACCTGATTATGTGCAAAGTTATCTCTTTTTTTGACAAAGCACAAGGAGATAGAGACTGTTCTCTAATAAACTGCTAAACATTTGTTTGAATTTGTGCTGTCAGAATCTGTTTTTTCCTTTATGAGTAGTTTCTAATTACTAAGATTATATCTTTTTGCTTGTAATGTTCTGCACAGGGAAATCACAGTTATTTGCTGTATGTTCAGAGGATAATTAATCTTGTACTTCGGTAACTTTAAAGTAAATCTTATTATCTACTATCTGGACTTGATTAAATTTTAGCTGTACATGGAAATGAGAAGCAGCAATTTCTTTTAAAGATACTGTAGGAGATCAACTACTAAACAGCTTAGATTGCTTTGAAATGGAACTTTTCCTTTTTGTAGATCAAAGAAGTCCTTGAGAACCCTCATTTACTGACAGTAATAAAAATAGAAGAAGCTGGAGATGAAATTGTGAGCAATGCCATTTCTTTTGCCCTGTACAAAGGCAAGTAATTGTTTTTTTCTTGGGTTTTACTGTTGTTTTCTTTGTTTGTTTTTGTTTTCGAAAAAGATGGCTATTTATTTTCTAGAACAGTGATCCTTAGAGCAGTGCCGTCTGTCTAGAGTCAAGCTCCTGCCACAGTGTGGGGTCTGTCTTCATCTCAAGTGGTGTGGGCAGGCCATGGCAGCATTATGGGATCTGTTAGCATGGGTGAGATCAAAATCCAGTCAAGATAGCTGGGAAGTTATTTAGCAGAGCTTGGGGAATGCTGGGATAGCACCTCAGAGAGTGGCATACAAGTATGCAATGCAACAGGGAGACAGGAAGCCAAGCAAAGGGTCTTTTCTGATTATACTGCAGAAGTGGATTGCTCCTGCAATGTAAATCAAGTATTTCTTGGTATATATGTGGACTGAAGAGGTTTGACTGGGATTCAGCAGCGGGAGAAGCATCCAGTTGCCTAACAGTCAATGTACAGGGTTGCTACCCAGTGACTTGCTACCATGGGTAATTCAGACCTGGGCTCCCCACTACTCTGGAGCAGAACTGGTACTCAGTGGGGGTTGCTGGGCTGACCTCATTTTCCCATCTGTGCACGGAGAAAGCCTGTGAACATTACAGCTTCTCATGACCCTTCCTGTGAAGGGCCCTGTCGTAAATCCTGTAGAATTTCTTTTGTGTGGAGGATGTGGAGGACACTGAGGAGTCTGAAGGTGATGTTGTGCTGATTTTGGCTGATAAGGTGCTCCTAGCAGCTTGTTTGTGGCCTATGTTGGACCATAAATATGTCTCCAAGCCTCCAGGGTCATCTAAACCCAATCAGGAAGATGCCCATGAGTCTGGGGAAAGACCCTTGATAGAGATCTTTTCAAGTACAGCGTGAAAAGCAGGGATGAAGAAGTGTGCCAGGCCGCTCTTTTGTCTCTGGTCTTTTGCCTAAAGGATTGTTCCTGCTCTGCAGCTTTCAGCACCAATGAACACGACAGAGATAACTGGAACGGGCAGCTGAAGCTGCTGCTGGAATGGAATCAGTTGGACCTGGCCAGTGATGAGATCTTCACCAATGACCGAAACTGGGAGGTACAAACTGCTTCTGAGTACAGTGACATGGGACGGGGGAGCAATGGGAAGAGAGCCACTGTCTTGGTGGCCCAACCGCTGTGATGATAAGTGAGAGTGTCTCTTCCTCCTTGCACTGACATCACTTATTGCAAAGTTTATCTGCCCATGCCAGGAGTACTCTAGGCCATCCAACAAAGGCAACTGCATACAGAAAAAACTGACTCTGATGAAACTATGACAGCACGAAGGAAGAAAAATGTGGCAGTTAGCCACGTGTGTCAGGCCTTGGGTAAGCTTTGTGTGTCTCACATGCTCCCTGTTATTTGCTTTTTCATTTCTTCGTAGTCTGCTGACCTGCAGGATGTCATGTTTACAGCCCTAGTGAAAGACAGGCCCAAATTTGTCCGTCTCTTCTTGGAAAATGGCTTGAATCTGAGGAAGTTCCTTACCACAGAGGTCCTTAGAGAGCTGTACACGAACAACTTCAGCAGCCTAGTGTTCAAGAACCTGCAGATTGCAAAGAACTCCTATAACGATGCACTCCTCACATTTGTGTGGAAGATGGTTGAGGACTTCCGAAGAGGTCTCAAAAGAGATGACAAAAATAGCAAGGATGAGATGGAGATACATCTTTCAGTGAGTGATCAGCTGTTTATTTCACTGTCCTGAAAGGAAAAAATACAAATTGTTTTGGTTCTGGTGTAGCAGGATTTGTTTTAACAGTCTCAGCCTTCTTTTGCATTTAACATAGTGCTCCATTTTACAAATGCATGTAAGGGTAATTTAATTACAAGAAAAATGGGAGACTTTTTATTTCACTGTCAGGTAAAACCAGATTTCTCACTTAGCACAGCATGGTAGGGCCAAACAAACATTGGATCCAGATCTGAGTTTCAAAACTGGAGCTCAGGCATCAGACAGGAAACTTATGAAATTGATCATTGACTTCAGAGATACGATGGAACACGTGTGAGCTTCAGGGGAAGTTTGATTTGAAAATGCTGGTTAGCTTTGAGAGTTTCCACCAAAGTTTGTGCCTCCTAAAAGTTCTAGTGCTCAGCGGTCATTTTGTGATGGCTTTGCCATTCCCGAGTGCTAATGCAAAGGAGATGGTAGTGTAGAAAATCTTCTCTGTTTAAGTTTTTGTGAAGTTCGTGGTCTTGCTTACACACAAAAGGCATATTGTTATAAAATTAGTATTCCTTTCAGATGATGTTAATCTGTGGTCTCTAAAGACAAAGGCAAGCTGTGGATGAGGCTATCTGAACTGCATGGGTTAAATCAGAAAGGGATTTTGACCTGGATGTCCATTAATGCCAGCTTTAGGAAAAAAAAGGAGGCTGATTCTTCCACACCAATTAGGAAAATATAAGGCTTTAATATCGATATAAAATATAACAACTTACATTAGTGTGTGGCAAGTGCCAGGTAGCCAGGAGGGAGAATCGGTGGGCAGGCTGTAAAAGGAAGAAAATACAAACACGGGAGAGTGGCAGGATAGGGCTTGTTTCAGCTGAAAACAGAGTGGTGAGCATAGGTCTGAGGAGTTGTTGCTCCTTCTTGCAGGATGAGTGTCCTATCACAAGGCACCCGTTGCAAGCTCTGTTTATTTGGTCAGTTCTTCAGAACAAGAAAGAGTTGTCTAAAGTCATTTGGGAGCAAGTAAGTTGAATTCTCCTTTCCTTCTCTTTGGTTTGTAGACATTTGAGGCTCTAGATCCTTCTTCATAGACAAAACCACTAGAGGTAATTGCTAGATGATTTTGTGGAATTAATGTTAATTTGAGTGGCATTAATATTAAAATCCACACCCAAACACACCCATTTTGTGTTTGGGTGTGGATTTCATACTTTCCTAATGCCATGTGTAAGTCAGTGGTCCGAGCTTGCATTTACCTATAGTTGTATGTTCTCACCTGTGTTCAAGCTTGGATGCCGAGTTCCCACCCACTCCACCATATGGATATGTTCTGATCCCAGGTATCTGATTGAAATCAATTTCTCATTTTGATTAGTGGTGATTGTATTAAGTACATAGTTCACAGGCTGTAAGTGTGAGGCTAAGGCAGGCAAAGCTAATGAATGCTCCTGCTCACCTCGGTCTTAATGTCCAAAGCGCACCTCGGTCTTAATATCCAAAGCTCACCTCGGTCTTAATGTCCAAAACAGAGCGCTTCTTGCTTGCGTGTGTAGATGTTTTGATCAGAACTCATTAGTGTAGTCTGGGCAGATCTGGGTACCTAACTGGTCCAGACTGGTGGACGGTGAAGATGGTAGTGTAGCTTATGACAGGGCAGACCCTCTTTTCTAAAAGAAGGGGGATAATGTTTTAAGTATATATCGCATTCCCTTCGCAGAGGGCTTTGCCTGACTTAACTCTATCTCCACAGACCAGAGGTTGCACTTTGGCAGCTCTTGGGGCCAGTAAGCTCCTAAAAAGCATGGCGAAGGTGAAGAATGACATAAATGCTGCTGGGGAGTCTGAGGAACTTGCTAATGAGTATGAGACAAGAGCAGTAGGTAAGTGCCTTCTTTAAGTCCTTTAGAAATTTAGTAGGAGGGGTCAGAGATCAGGAAATTATTTTCTTTCTTGGAATGTTACTTGTTATAATGATCTCCAGGTCTGGTGTGTACCAGTGATTGCATAGTGATGTTTTTGTTATGTGCAAAGCAAAAGTGATAACCCTGCTGGTTTTGTTCAGCAAAATGCAGTGCAAGACAGTTCATTCAGTTTGCCTGAAGTGCTACCCAAGAAATCCATCCTGAATTTTAGAGAAATGGCATCTCAAAAGGAAGTAGAAGGAATGCTTTATTTAGGAAATTGTATATCCAACATTAAATGCTTCCCTTCAATGCCAAATGTGTTTTCACTGCTTGGAAATCTCATCACACCATCTGTTCCCAGCGGAAACCCTGTGTCCTGTCTGAACAGATTGCCTCTGAAAGTGGGTGTTGAGGTTGGGTTTTATTTTTTGAATTGAGAATTCCTTTCATTGGGAAGAAAAACTTCCTAGCTGTCATGGCAAGGCTGAAGAAGAATGGTGCCCAGAAATAGAAAGGGGAATATAAAATAAGTTTTCTGCATGAGCGCTAGTAATATTCAGGTTGAAAAAAGCCGTCCTTCAAATTTTTCAGGAGTACTTTTAGGACATGGGAATAAATTGCAGTTAAAAGGTGGGTTGAATTCCTAAATTCTGAACTGCAAAATTGTTTACTTTCCTTATTCCGGTCCTGTCTTTGTTGATGGCATAGACAGTGGGATTAAGTGCACCCTCAACAAGTTTGCTGATGACACTGAGCTGTGTGGTGTGGTTGACACCCTGGAGGGAAGGGACCTTGCCAGCCCTGGGAGGTGAGCCCAAGCAAACATCATGAAATTCAACAAGGTCAACTGCAAAGTCCTGCACCTGGGTTAGGGCAATCCCACCCACAGATACAGGCTGGGCAATGAGTGGATTGAGAGCAACCCTGAAGAAAAGGACTTGGGGATGCTGTTGATGATGTGCTCAATGTGAGCCAGCAGTGTGCACTGGCAGCCCAAAAAGCCAACTGTATCTTGGGGTAGATCAAAAGAATTGTGGCCAGCAGGACGAGAGAGGTGATTCGCTGCCCCTCTGCTCTGGTGAGGCCCCTCCTGGAGTACTGCATCCAGCCCTGGAGCCTCCAACACAAGAAGGACATAGATCTTTTGGAGAGAGTCCAGAGGAGGCCACAAAATTGATCAAAGGGCTGGAACAGCTCTCCTGTGAGGACAGACTGAGAGAGCTGGGGTTATCCAGCCTGGAGAAGTGGCCTTCCAGTACCTGAAAGGGCTGCAGGAAAGCTAGGAGGAACTGTTTAACAAGGATGTGTGGTGAGAGGACAAGGGGCAATGGTTTTAAACTAGAGCAGGGTAGATTTAGATTAGACATTAGGAAGAAACTCTTTACTGTGAGGGTAGTGATCAGATTGTCCAGAGAATTTGTGAATGCCTCATCCCTGGAAGTGTTCAAGGCCAGGTTGGTCGTGGCTTTCAGCATCCCAGTCTGGTGAGAGGTGCCCCTGCCCATGGCAGGGGGTTGGAACTAGATGATCTTTATAGCTGGTGTGTTTTGTAAGAGACTGGATCACTCTCCAGGGCAGTTGTGCTCAGTCACAGATACACCAACAGAACTGCCTTTAAGTGGAAAAAATCCAGACCCGGGAAGAGAAATAATATTTCACTCTATGTGCATTGTTAGTGGAGAAAAAAGCCCAACAACCCTGTGGGCAGAATAAGATGCTTACGGCTCTTCTAAAATACCTGTGTTTGCAATGCACTTCATAGTGAAAAACCATCCGTGTTGTTTGATCCTACTGTTAATATGAGACTACTGAGACTGACTATAAATTGTTAGATCGGTACTAAATGGATCAAGAAAAGATTAGGCAGATATCACTTGAGGAGAAGTTCATATTCTTTACTCAGTATTTTTAGTGCACAGCCCAACTTAATGTTATCTCGGTGTGAGCTCGTGTAGTATTACAGTCTTCTGTCCAGACATGCATTCTGTACAAAAGCTTAATACGTGCAAGTGTGGTTGTAGAGCAAAGTTTCAACATCGTTTTATCATGCTGAAAATGTGGAAAGAGTTTTTTGTATCTACATGCTTTAATATTACAAATATGATACTTCAGAAGACAATTGCACCCAAGTCGGTGGGAAATTGAGCCTGAAGATGGAGCTCAGTGTGGGGCTGCCCTCTTTCCTCCAGAGCTCTTCACCGAGTGCTACAGCAGTGATGAAGATCTGGCTGAACAGCTGCTGACCTATTCCTGTGAAGCCTGGGGAGGGAGCAATTGTCTGGAACTAGCAGTGGAAGCTAAAGACCAGCAGTTCATTGCACAGCCAGGGGTGCAGGTAATGTCAGTGAAGGCACACAGATTACTTACTGTAACTCTTGTGATCTGGATAGCTTAAAAAAGGTGAATATTCTTGCTGTGCAAGTGCTACGTCCATGTGAACAGACCATGAAAGGCCAATGCTCAGTCACTATTCTGGTGGAAGTGAGATCCTCTGGGTGAGGTTTCCCAGCCCTGTGAGCACTGAGATTTGCACGGTGGCAGCATAGCTGTGTCCTCCAGCCGTGCTCACAGAACCCAGTGCCTGCAGTGCTGTGAGAGCATCCCAGAGAGCGCTGGCTGTGGCTGATGGGGGACCAGGTGTGTGGCTCCTCTTCTTGAAATAGGAGGTGGCTGATTTGCCCACAAATGCTCAGTCAAGAGGGGAAGACTTGATTTAGAGCTGTAAATCATAATGAGCTGGATGATAAAGACTGCCTGAAGTGACTTCTCCCTCGGCACAACTCCTGTGTATGCACAGTGTGGATGTATTGCCCAGCGTAAAGTGCCTTATGAATCAGGTCAAGTCCTGCTCAGCCTTGTTTTGAACTCCTCATTACACAGACTGGAGCATGGCTGGGCTAAGGAACCAGCACACTGTTAACGAATACACAAAGTTTCCTGTATTGTTGAAACAGGAAACCCAGTTATTTTGATTGAAATGTCCTGGCATTTTTTTTTACTAAATCAAATGTCTTTGAATATCAATAGGTTATTTTGTTGCTGTTAGAACCAATTAAGGTTATTTTCTTCTTCCCTGCAGAATTTCCTTTCCAAACAGTGGTATGGAGAGATTTCAAGAGATACTAAGAACTGGAAGATTTTACTGTGTCTGTTCTTCTTCCCTTTAATAGGCTGTGGTTTCATCTCATTCAGGTAATCAACTGGCTTCTCATTAGCAAAAGCAAAACAAGTCAATTAATCATAGAATCATAGGGCAATTCAAGCTGGAAGGGACCCGTGGAGATCATCCAGTCCAATGTCCTGTTCAAAGCAAGGTCAGTTAGAGCAGGTGGTGCAGGACTGTGTTTTGAGTATCTCCAAGGATGGAGGCTCCACAACCACTCTAGGGAACCTGTTCCAGTGTTTGGTCACTCTCAAATAAAGATATCTAATGGCTGAATAAGCTTTTGACAGATCATGTCCTCACTTTGACTTGGAGTTAAGATATGCCAATTCACTTGTGTACCTGAAGTCAATGGATGCAGAATGGCATCACCTTTAATATCCTGTGCTAGACTTTGCACATTTCTGATTTTTACTTTGATGAAGAGCAGAAATGTTTCCAGGCATAACAGCTATGCTTTGAGACCTGTTCTCCCTTTTAATTCCTCAGGAAAAAGCCTGTGGAGAAGAGTAAGAAACTCTTCCTGTATTATGTGTCTTTCTTCACCTCCCCCTTTGTCGTCTTCTCCTGGACCGTCATCTTCTACATTGCCTTCCTATTGCTCTTCGCCTACGTGTTGCTTATGGATTTCCAGAAAGAACCTACCGTCCTGGAGATATTCCTTTACGTGCTGGTCTTCATTCTGCTTTGTGATGAAGTGAGACAAGTAGGCAGCGCTTGCAAACCAAAAATGCTTAGTGCTAGATTAAAAGCCTTTGTTTTTTTTCCCCTCCTAGTAGTGTATGGCTGTGCAGGCTGCTTCTAAGTTACAGGGGAACCGCTTCTTGGGAAATATGTTCAGGCAACTCAAGGCACAATGAATACAATTCCACTCCTTGATCTTGAATTCCTACCTGTGCTTGAAAGGCTGCAGTGTCCCTGCAACAAGAGGAATGTGTATTGACTTTGAGGCTGCGTGGATAAGCTGATGCTACTGGGGATATTTCTCAGGAATGCTTGGCTTGGATTGCCGAAGTAGAGAATAGGAGGTTAGATTTACTGCATTTATCTGTGTGCATTAACTCAAGATTAAGTAATTCCTGCCTCTCTTCTCCACATCCTGCCTTGATGTCCTCCCTCCCCTTTTTTTTTAACCAATGAGCAGCATGTCATTATATATTTTCCCATTTTCTTTTAATCATAAATACAGTTTTGGCTAGTTTCACAGTCCCAAGGACCAGCTTTGGACTGCCTGCATTGCTTGCGCTGGTGTCTGCGAACAGCACATGGGGCTGCCTTTATAGCCAGCTGCACAGCTGATATTCATCTCACTTCATACGTTAAGGGCACCTATGAAATATGTTGGGTTTCAGGTGAGCTGGTCTCTACTAGTTGGTGTTCAGCATACCGGGAAGATGCTGGGGGAATTGGAAGAGAAATGGGTGTGTGGTTTCACTGCAGTGCTGCTTTCTGATTGTCCTGTATGGCATTGGTCTCTGCATGAGTGTTTGTGGGTGATCGGCTGGGTCAGACCACTGTGTAATAACATTTCTAACATAAGCTCAAATGACATTGCTTTAATGTTGATGTTGCTGTGCTTAACATGCTGTGTGGTCTTCTTTTCCTTTTTAGTAGTCAAGGTGCTGTACCCTGTTTAAGGCAACTTTACTAGCTAAGGAAAATGGGAGAAAAGAAAAAGATTCTGTTGCAATGAAAACCCTAATTGGAGCATTTGTTTCTGCCGATTTAGATTCTGGTGTTTCTGGACCTGTCCTTGCACTTCCCGTGTGTACCCAGCAAAAGTCCTGGGGAGAGTCTTAGGGATGGAAACTTTTTTTCCTACCAATGTTGCTATTTCTCGCTGCCCTGAGCAGGTGGAACAGCTTCAGATCCCAGTAATCCCACTAATAGCTAGAGGCCAGAGCATTCCCACATTGATTGTGGGAATGGAGGCAGCTAACACAGAGACTTTACCAAAGATTTAAAGTTATCTTAAGCCTAGCTTCAAACCTGTTTTTCTAAGGAGCAGAGTGCAGAGCAGCATCCCAATCCTCAAGCTTCTCAGGAAACTGTCACCCTGGCATCTTCCAACATAGGTTGTGTGTGCACAGTCAAAATAATATCTTTGTCCTTAACATTTAAAGAAAAGGTTTTGGTTTTACATCAAAGGAAAAGTAAGAGTAACATTGCCTGTGGTCCCACTGTAGCTGCTGCAGTCAGATAACTAGTTTTGGGGAGAAACCAGCCCTCTCATTAGAGTGATGGGTCTGTGCAAGTGACAGGTACTAGACATTGCTCCAGATTCAAAGCAGATTGTTTCACTGTTCAAGAGAACTAAGCTGTAAGCCACTGGTTAAGCCCTATTTTCACATCTGATGGTCCTAGAGATTTTTAACTAGCCAGAGCTACTTTCTCATATCCCCTTTAGAGCTGTCATGGCAATAGTCAGAATGGAGGTGCCTTTTTCCTGCCATCTTCTTAGCCACATGAATCCAGCCTCCAGCCAGGTGAGTGGGTAGACTCTTGGGGTCTGCAGGAAAACCCACTTTTCTCAAAGGAAGAAGGAATCCAAACAGAACCTCCATGCACATTAACTCTTAGCAGTGGGAATGGCTTGATATTTGAAGGACTGAACTGAATTGCAGTCTCGGTCATTCTCACTTGTTTACATCTGCCTGCCTCTGTTTTCTCTGTTTCTGCTTTAGACCAAAACCTGTTTCCTTTCCTCCACCCACAGTTATGCCCTTGATAGGAGAGGCATCAGACTTAAACCTGCTGCATTTAATACAGCTGTGGTACAGTGATATGCTTATTGCTTTGTGAAAGGTGTTTGGACTGTATGTGTCTGGCTGTTCATGTAAAACACCACTTCACTGTCATGTATAGCAAGATAACTTACGTTTTAGGGAGTTACTAGACAGAGAGAACCTAATGTCATGGATGTCAGACATGCTGTCCCCATTAAGTGCACAGCCTTTGGTACCTTAAATAGTAAGGATGGTGTTTGTGGGTCCCAAGATGCTGAAATAGCATCTGGTAATACCTTGAGCCCAATGCTCTTGTAGCTGCCACAACTGTCCATCTTCAGGAATGTGAAGAAAATGCAACAGTTGTGCAACTGGAATAGCAAAGAGGTGTTCCCTACTTACAGCTTCTTCTGCATTTAGAAGGAAATTACTCTCAATCTCTGTTTCCCATAAAAGTGCTGACAGCAGAATTGCCTTCCTTGGATATGCCAGTTACAGAGAGATGAATTGATCAGTACTCTACTAGTCTTTGATTATTTAAATGCAAATTAGAAAAAGTTATGATCAGGGTCTCAGTCTATTTCTTCAGGCCGGGTGGAGATTTCTCCTGGTTAAGCTACTTGTCCTAATGAGTCACCTCTGAATTACATCCAAAAGTGGGTTCTTGCACAAATTTTGGATCCAGGGTGCAGTACCAGTCAATCTGGGAATGGGCAGAGATTCCCACTAGAATTGCAATTCAGAAATAGAGTGCCAGATAGTTAAAAGAATAAATTAAATCTGCATCTTTGATCAAAAACATATCTGTAGCCAGGAACAGATTACTGAATGAGCTCTGTGAAGAAAGAGAAGCCAGAATACTTCACCTGCCCCTAAAGAGTGATGTGTCTGCCTCCTCTCAGTGTTTCTTCTGCTCGTGATGGGTCACACCAAGACTCCTCTTACCCATTTGGCAGCAGCTTTGCTAGAGCATACCTTGATCTACCGTGAGGTCCTTTGGCAGCATGTGTATACACGTGTGAGCCCGAAGTACATAAATCTTAGTTCTTGTCGGGACTGTTCCTTTCTCTTCCCAAGCACAAGGACCTATGTAATTGAGTTACGTCCTTGGAGCACAGCACCCAGCGCTGTGGTGCAATGTTTGTGTCACTGATGTGCTTAACTGGTCCCAGTGCGTGACCGTTAGCTTAGGACATCTTGACTGCAAGAGAAAATGTGATAAGGAGCTCCAAACAGAAAATTTTGACCCATAGTCCTGTTGGAAGTTAACCGTAAAATGGTGTTGCTGGTAATTTCTGGCACCGATGGATATATTAAAACCCCTCTTTTGGGGGGGAAATTCAAAGCAACCTGAATTCTGGTGTACCTATTATATGTGACAAAAAAATCAATTGGGCAAAGCAACAATCCTTACCATTATGGTGAGTGGAATATTTACTGATGAGGCCGTCCAGTGGGGAGGGCAAGATGAATGAGCAACCCACGTCACTGGCCAGTGCTATGTGGTGGTTACTTTCTGCTCTTTTTCCTTCCCAGTGGTACATGAATGGCAGTAAGTATTTCTCAGATCTGTGGAATGTTATGGATACGCTAGCAATCTTCTACTTCATAGCAGGAATTGTGTTCAGGTGAGTAGTATCTTTTTTTGTGGCCATATTGTGGCTTTGATTCCTTTCTGGGCTTTGACTACAGCCTGTAATGAGATTTTGGGAAACATGCTTGCGAAACTCCCTGTTCTTTATGAAGACCTCAAATACTGCCAAATCTTGACTCTCTATCTGCAAAAACGAATAAAAGAATAATGTGATTAGGGAACATTTGCATGCAATATTTTATCTTTTTGGTTTAATTTATCTCTGGAGTCAGAGGTAGGTTTTCTGAACTCAGATCTTTCTGGGCCAGCAGGACAACCCTTCTTAATGTGTAAGTTTGGATGAGCATGTTTAAAAGATGATGATTGAAACAGGCTTAGGTTTCATGGCAGTGTCATGAAACTGGGTGTATAGAGTGTATCACACAAGGTTGCATGGTAAGATGGTTTATATCTCAGAGAGTCAGAAGTTCTTTGGGTTTTTCCCTGGCTCCTATTACTGACTATTTATTATGGTAATCTGCACTCTTTGAGCTTTAGTGTGTGGTGTTTGAGGGGACTTTAATTGTACCCGCAGTAGTTTAACCAAATGCCATTAGCTCACATGAGCCGTTCTACATGAATGGGTGAGTTAACAACCACGACAAAGAAATGCTGGAAACACATTTTACAGTGTAATCGTTCAGTCAGTTGTAACTTAGTTCTTGTTGCCTCAGTGCAGCAGAGCAGTCATTGCACTGATGTTTTTGGAGGGTGGTGGCAATAGGTAAAAGATTTCCTTGCTGTTAGTAGGTTTAGAGGGGAAGATGAGACACGGCAGTGACATAGCTAAGATAGGACGGATGTAAATGAGGTGTGCATAAAAAACAGTTCTGCTGCCTGTCATCAGGTGGGAGTGGGTGGGAGAGAGCATGGGGGCCTGGATAGCTGCTCTCTGCTTTCCAGTTCCTCACTTTTTCACTCCCTATTTCAGTGTTTCATTGTATTTTTACCTAACTTCTGCATGCTTTACCCGACGTTTCTCTTGATTTTCTTTTACTGTCTCTATCAGGCTTCACTCATCTGATGAAAGCTCTTGGTATTCTGGGAGAGTCATATTCTGTTTGGACTACATAGTTTTTACTCTGAGGCTGATCCATATTTTCACAGTTAGCAGGAATCTAGGACCCAAAATTATTATGCTGCAGAGGATGGTAAGATTCTGGCAGCTATTCAAGAGAGTCTAAATAAATTATGTGATGCCTTGTTTTTCCTTAAGAGTGAAAATCACCACTGTTCTGATGATGGCAGCAAGTTCTCCTCTTAAATCTGCTAAACAGGATTAATTAAGATTTAAATAGGACCTAATTAAGAGCACGGCCTCTTTCTCTCCCTCTGCACAGGGGGAGAATAGAGATCAGGCTGAAGAACACAAGAGGAAATTTGCTTCCTGGTAGCTTTTGTCTTATGTGTCTCAAATGTTTCACTGGTATATTGCATTACTCTTGTCACTCACACAAGCAACAAGACAGTGACAGTAAATGGTGTATGAGGAGGATTTCTGTCTTCCACTGCATCCATCACACAAGTAACTGTAGAAGCGAGTGGCCTTGGCTGGTTCTGTCCTTTGGAGGGGGTGTTTGCTAGCAGACTGGGAAAGGCAACAGGAGGATAACCCAATTCAATGTGTTGCAGATATGGCTTTGTATAGGTACGGGAGAACTGAGGTATGTCTGCTTGAGTCTTCCTTCCAGTGACACCTCTGCACACACACACACACACAAGTATGCTCCAAAGAAAAGAGATTTGAAGTTTATGGGGGCATTTCGGGAATGACACTCAAAGGGCACATGAAGTGACTATTGCTAGATGTTCTTAGGAGATGTTTTCCCTGTCTTTCTGCACTTCTGTAGTGATTGGGTTGTCTTATGCCATAGCAGAGGATTGGCATATATGAAATTTAAAAAACAGCTGTGTGGTAACACTAGGAGTAACAGTGTGATCTGCAGCTTACCCAGAAAGCCTTTGTTTTGTCACTGCTGCTGAGCTGGAGTCTAGAGATTACCTGGTCCTAGAGTGCCTTATGAGGGGGAAGCAACAACACAGGATTGTTTGGCCTTCTTCAAAAGGGATGAGGTTTTGAGTAATAAAAAGGTGCTTGGGGTTAGTAGGAGGGCAAATCTTGGTGGAGGTGGGTCTGCACCAAATTGGGAACCTCAGCTGGGTTATTACCAGTCTTCAGTTATCTGTATGTTTCTGAGAGAGAAATTGATGAAGCTGTTAGAGCATCTAGACTGTAAATGCTGGTTTGAAGCCATCCCGGGAGGCATTTTCAGAAGCGTTGGCTGCTCTCGCCTGACACTCAGCACAGGGTCTGCAGCTACAGTTGTTGCATAAATAGTGGTTGCGTGTGGATCTGGCTTTTGTGGGTGGACTTCGTCTGATGCCAAGGGAATATCCAGTATTCTGAAATGTGCCTTGGTTTTATGGATGCTTAAACATTGTTGAAGTTCCTTGAGTGGGAACAATCAATTATTTGAGTGTATGTTAGTGACTGTAACTTCATGGAACAGTGATCTGAAAAAGTTAATTAAAATGCTCCTGACTTTTGTAGGCTTTTCTAATATTTGTTCCCCATCCAAACATCAAATCAGAGCAAAAAAAGCCACATATGAGTTGCAAAAGGCATGCAGTGGGGCACTGATACATTTGTTGTCCTTTTTCAGATGATAGATGTCTTCTTCTTCCTCTTCCTCTTTGCTGTGTGGATGGTGGCCTTTGGTGTGGCCAGGCAAGGCATCCTGAGGAAGAACGAGCACCGCTGGGAGTGGATATTTCGATCTGTCATCTATGAGCCATACCTGGCGATGTTTGGCCAGTACCCTGATGATGTTGACGGTACCTGTTTTCTGTGGGAAAGCTCTCCTGGGTGGGTGGGAGGCTCTGTCCTTTCAATGGTTGCCCAGTCCTGTTTTGACCCCTCTCTTCCAAGCAGCAACAAGGCAAGGCTTTATGTCTGATGGAGAGGTGGGGAAGGAGGAGGCCACACGTGTTGTGGTCAGTGGCGGCACTTGGGCCTGGACCCCACTGATCTGCAAGTGAAGGAGAGGGAGAGGGTTCACTGTTTGCCCTCTTTCTCACTCTCTTGAGGTACCACCTACAACTTCGACCGCTGCACCTTTTCTGGGAACGAGTCCAAGCCCTTGTGCGTGGAATTGGATGCCAACAACCAACCCCGCTTCCCAGAGTGGATTACCATTCCTCTTGTTTGCATTTACATGCTCTCAACTAACATCCTCCTTGTGAACCTGCTCGTGGCCATGTTTGGGTAGGTGCTAAAGGAGCGATCACTTGCTTGTGATCTCTGTGTCGATATCGCTCTGAGAAAGGCAATGAAGTCCTGGAAAATGGCATGAAGCCAGCTCTTGGGAGACTCTGCCTGTGTCTTTTGCAGAGGAATTGCTGGGAGTAGTCTGGACAGGTTTCCCAGCTTCAGACAGACCTGGTGGTGTGGGAAGGTGAACAAAGGCAAGGTTATTCAGCATTTCTCACAGCACTCTGATCAAAACTTGTACAGTGTCCTAGGGGTGGATTGCTGCCTGTCCTTTTACTACTTCTCTAAGCGTCGTTTGCAGGCTGGACTTAGTACAAATGCCTGTGGTTCACACAGAGGGTGATAGCTGGTCAGTGCTTTACCGAGTATGAGTTATGGCACAACTGACCTTGCAGGACTGAATAAAAGAGTTATTACTGCAGTTCTTTCATGACATTCTGGTTTTATTAACCAGAACTGCTGTGTGGAGATGATGGGTGTGTTACTGCTCTGGTGGACCTGCTATTTATTCTTCTGACTTATACCACAGGCAATGGGCCGCATCTCCTTGGGACGTACAAAAGGACTTTGTCTTGGAAAATGCCATTGCCTCTGTTTTTAAATGGGAATTTATCTGTATGCGAGTGTACCAGTCAGGAGGCTTATTCTGGCATCTTGTGAGGTGTTACATCATGCAGGTGAATCTGACACCTGAAATGTGGTACTGACTAGATCACGTAGCCAGCACTGATTTGTCAAATAAAAACGGTTACTGTTGGGCACATTATGAAATATGTGTTGACTACATTGGGACCAGCCACAGCAAACCATTACTGGTCCTCAGGTAAGAGCGTCCTAAGCTTCTTTCTGAAAGTTTACACTGATAGCCGTGACAGAGTATTTGGTTAATAATGGGAAGTTCTTCATGTCAGACTTGAGGAGTGTGTGGTTCTCCTGTCTCACTTCTGAACTGCGGTGCAGCTGGATCAGCGCTGTGGCTCCGTTCTCTTTCCTATTCCTGCTTCCTTTCTCCTTTACACTCCTTGCAGCCTGACAAAAATACCTACAACCGCTGGGCTCATTCTTGAGGTCCACTGTGTTTATTTTTGCGTGTTTTGATGGTTCTTCGACAGTGACAGACTTGGAAGGAATTTGCTTTGGCAACAAGAGTATTTACAGGAACTGCTTAAGCACTCTTGGTTTGCCTCAAGAAGATCTCCCTTCTGAATGCCAATGCAAATTTTTCCTGGCCTGAGATGGATTAGTGTGATGAGTTGAGAACATCTCAGCTTTGGGATCTGCTCTTGCCTCTGCTTTCAACCTTATTTCCCACACTGAGCTGGACTCCAAAGACAGTCAGAAATGTGATTTTTGGCAAGGCAGCTAGCACTAATGTGGCATATCTTTCACTATACCTATGTTTTCCTAACCTGCACAGAATCTGGGGACAGAAGACAAAGCTTACTAGAAAGGGTAAAAGCCTCTCACATTAATAAAGCTGTAAGGCAGCTCTACCCTAGAAGCCCTTGATATTCATTAGAACACTTATTTTAACAGCACCTAGTGGTAAATGCTCTTATTTATACAGTGATGCCAGTAAAAACCTAGTTTTTGCCAGTTCAGCTGATTGTATAGAAGGACCCAGCCTGAAATCTCTAGCGACACTCTCAGAGCTTTGCATAGTTCATTTTAACAATAGAGTGAACAACTTAATCAAGCAGGGCTGCTGGATTGCACTGAAGTCAGGAAGCCTGGTGGGCAAACAGCAATCCCAGATGTTTTTTATTCATTCAGTTAGAGGTGTGTGGAATCTGTGATGGCTTCTCCTGTGACTAGTGTGTACATCGTATTTGTCAATCTTTAATAATACTAGTGTGTATTAGATACTAGTCCCATCAGTGTCTCTATATGTTGTAATTACAAATACATGTTGATTTTAACAACAAATAATCTTTTCCTTTGTATCCAGTATTAGCTGAAAAGGGTAGATACTGTATTTTTTAGATACTTCTGAAATTCAGTGTAAAACAGAAGATAATTTCTGCCAGGTGAAGGTTTAGCTTGTCTTGTGGAAGCGTCCGTTAGAATCTCAACACAGGCATTTTGGAAGCTTCCATCTGCCATTTAATGTCAGCAATAAAAGGTCAGATCGTCTGTGAGCTGTTTGCTCTTGTGGTTGTTGCTTTGCTGGGTTCATACAGCGCTTAGTACAATAGCTTTGATCCATGCCTGCAGCATTCTTACTGCTTCCCCTAAAAATCTCAGGAGCTTATAATTTTTTGTAAAGCTCTATTTTTAGGTATGTGGGGTTTTTTTGCTTGGAAAGAAGTTAGGTGATGAATTAATGATACACAGCATCTTGCAAAGAAGCATTCTGTTCTCATGTGTCTAGGTTGGAAGAAAATTGCCTGGAGCTAACGTAGTGAAAGTATGGGGCATATTTTCTCCCTCTTCCTAATTTTTAAATTTTTTTTCCTATTTTTTTATTTTACTTGTAAATTCCTGTTGTTTTTTCTCTGCTGTTTTAGTCCCTCCCATTTTCAAGTTTCGTTTTAAAAAGAACTGACTCAATAAACTCCTAATCAGTAAAAATTAACAGCTCCAAGATGACTTTACAAAGATGTGCCCTGATGTAATAAAGAGAAATGCTGTCTCTGATTGAGAATCTGGTGAATAACTAATGCTGTGTGTATTTTCTCTTTCTTTGCCCGTTAGTTACACAGTTGGGTCAGTACAAGAGAACAATGACCAGGTGTGGAAGTTCCAGCGTTACTTCTTGGTCCAAGAATATTGCAGTCGCTTGACTATTCCCTTCCCTTTCGTCATCTTTGCCTACATATTCATGGTGATGAGGAAGTGTTTCAAATGCTGCTGTAAGAAAGAAAGTAAAGAGCCATCTATTTGTTGTGAGTTGGATTACTCCTTACTCCTTGCATGTCCGCTCTGTGGCAGGTGCATTGCAACTCCTCCATTAGGGTTTTGGTGGGAAATTTTCAAGGGCAATCTCTGTCAAACGCAAATCCTCTATGGTGCTGGAAATCTCTTCACTAAGATTTGAAGCCAAGTCCCTGGCTGCTTCTCAGACATAATCTTCCTTCAGTACTCAAGGTGCACTCTCTCTGGAATGTGGGGATTTATACCCCTAACTCCCAGTGCTAAAACTCCAGCTGAGCATTGTTGTGATGTCTGGTCCCTAATAGCTTGGTTTTTGTCTGATTAGAGAGTTTTTGTGTTCTACTGTGAGACCTGCTCTATTTGAGTACTGTGCAGTTATCCAGTGCTTTCTTGCTCAAGCCATTTTGAGGCAGAATTACCTCATGTATGCAAATCAGTTAAGTCTTCAAATTAATCCTATTAGTTTAGGGCTGCCTATGCTGCTTTGTAGCATTGAAAGGCTTGGGGTTTTTTTTTGTATTGGAGCACTGAATAAATTCATCCAGAGCCTGCAGCAGCTGAAAGTCATCTTCATGCATTTCTGCATGGAAAATGTAAACCATTCCATTTGCCATTAACATCTGGTAGCACGTCCCTCCTGCACTGTCACCCAGTGACAGAGATCACAGGATCACAGAATGTTAGGGGTTGGAAGGGAAGATCGTGTAGTCCAACCCCCCACCAGAGCAGGATCACCTGGGGTAGAACACACAAGAACACCTCCAGGCAGGATGTCTCTAGAGACGGAGACTCCACAACCTCGCTGGGCAGCCTATTCTGGTGCTCTGTTACTCTCGCAGTAAAGAACTATTTCTCTATGTTTAGCTTGAACCTCCTGTTTTCCTGTTTGTGACCATTTCCCTTTGATCTGTCACTGGACACCACTGAGAAGAGTCTGGCCCCATCTTCCTGACACCCACCCTTTAGATATTCATAAGCATTGATGAGATTCCCCTCAGCCTCCTCCTCTCCAAGCTAAACAGACCCAGCTCTCTCAGCCTTTTCTCTTATCTTTGTGACTCTACCTTCTGGAGTTGCATTTCTCTTTACCTTTCCACTCCAGTCTCCCAGCAAATACAGCTAGTAGCTGCTAGGCCAGCCTAATAGAGGGCAGTATCCTTCAGAGGCTCTTCTGTCTGCTGTGACTGAAAGAGAATAGTCTCCTGGCCCTCAGGGCTTCGCCAAATGGGCAAAAATGCAGGAGTGGCTGAGTCAGTCCTCTAGCTATTTCCCCTTTATTTACTCTGTCAGAGGGCACAGATATGAATGGTTTTAACATGGTTTTTCCCCAACAAATGGAGTGTTTTCTCTTTTTTTTTTTTTAAAGTGTCATTCAGCAGCAGATGAGAGAAGATAAGTTGAGTTAATTGACAGACTTATTCCCATCCATCAGCAAGCTGGTTGTTGCCCTGCAGCACAGTCTGGATTTGTTATTAATTTAGGAGAAAGATGCTTGCTTTGGGGTGTGCAATTCCTTAGTCATGACTTAATCAGTTGAGTTAATTGACAGACTTATTCCCATCCATCAGCAACCTGGTTGTTGCCCTGCAGCAGTCTGGATTTGTTATTAATTTAGGAGAAAGATGCTTGCTTTGGGGTGTGCAATTCCTTAGCACTGACTAAATCATTTTGTCTGTCCAAATCGCTCTTTAATTTCCTTTTTGGGCAGGTTGTTTAATGGCAGATATTTCTGCCTGAGTGATGTGCAGTTGATGTTGCAGTTGTAAAAGCAAATGGAAGAATTAATTAGAGCCAGAATATCATTGTGGCTGAGCTGGTGACAGGAGCTGAGAACTGCATGGAGAAAGCCCACTAATGTGTTGACTGTTGCAAAATCCTGGCTTCCCCACTTTAATTCTTATGGAAATGGTTTGGACTTGGGTACTTAAATGCTTGTTGGTATCTGGAAGAACAACTGAGGCTGTGTGAAGTGAGAGGGGCACTGGGAGATTTCAGTTGTTTGTCAGCTGTGGGCTTCTTTTGTCTCAGCTAACTTTTCTATTTTTTTGAATTATACCCCATATGGTTTGTGCTGTCCTGCTGGAACAGGATAAAATGCAGAAGTATTATCCTGGAGAACTTTGCCTCAGAATGATTTGTCCAGTGTCACTCTAATTTACAGGATCAACAGATGATTTTTAAAGAAGACAATGCTTCATCATTTTGAAATGTTCAATAAGTCATACAACATGGTTCTTAACACGTTACTCTTAATAATCCAATATGGGATAATATAGAAACAAATGGAAAACTCAAACCCAGATAGGAGCTTTCTGGAATGTCCTGTGCCTGTTGAAGTGGCTGCCATGTCACAAAGCTTTTCTGTTTAGCAAGCCTCAAAAAATTACAGGAAGACTTTTGTGGAGCTTATTAGGTTTTATGTGTTTGCCAGGAGCATACAGTAAAATGCATTCATGCCATGTTTATCAGAGCTATGTCACAGGTGGGAAGTGAGGCTGTGAGTGCTCTGTGTGAAAAGGGAATCATTCAGCCTCCGAATGCAAGCACTCACTCAGCCTTTTTGCATCTTAGCATTGAAGGACAAATGACCTGAACCTAGTGTTGTTGTTTCTCTTCACATGTTTCCCAGGCTCAAAAAATGAGGACAATGAAATTCTGGCATGGGAAGCCGTCATGAAGGAAAATTATCTTGTCAAAATCAATACCAAAGCAAATGATTCATCGGACTACCCTTCTTTGTCTTCACTGTCTTAGCTTTCTGTTGAATATTTTTAGTGAAGGCAAGTTTTCAGCAGCCCTCAATGTTTACAAGCTAATGAGAGATAAATAAACTCAGCATAAACATGCCTTTTTAATTTTTAAGTAAAATTATGACTTTTTTGTCCGCTGCTGCAGACTGTCTTCAAAAATACTTGACTTGGTCTGTAAAATGCTGATGGCAATATTGCAAGGGTTATAGAGGCATATTATACACACAGTATCTGGGTGAATGTATTAAACACACTTATTCCAAATGTCTGTCAGAGTATTTATCATATGATTTCACCCTTCTCCACCTGAGTCTGTTTTTCCACCAGAGGAGAAAATGTTGACTTTCTCTAGTGTTTTGAGATCTGATTGTGGACAGCAGTGCTCTAGCTGTTTAGTTTTGTAACTTTATGCAGTTCACAGAGAAAACTTAGTGTTAGACCTGGAATACCAAGCATTTGCGTGGCATCAGTCTATATGGAGGTCTGTATTTAATAGCGTGAGTAGGAAAGATCTCTGGATAGCGTCCAAGATGCTATTTGGAATGATGGTATTTGAGGGGTGGTGACTTGGACTACACTACTCTTCCTTGTCTGCCAGGTCATGACACTTCATCTTTGGGATCTATCGTAGTGTTTTCAGAATAATACTGTAAGAGAAAAGAGAAATATAAAGAAAAATAGAAAAGAGCACCAGCACCCTACTGTTTATGATGGCTTAATTTTTGTGGCTAGCTTCCAGCAGCTTTGAGTATTTCCCTAAATCAAATGGAAAGGAAGAGCTCGTAAGAATGGGCAGGAAAGACCAGACTCTTCATGTCCTTCTGACCCTGCTGCCCACAAGTGTTTATGTTAAGACTATCCAGATGCCCTTGGTGTTGGATAAGAGGCCAAACAAATACCAAAAAATAGCTTTTATATTGGAAGCAGAAGTGTCTCAACAAGGAAAATGGCATAGCGCAGCACTAACAGTAATTCTTATGCTAGTTAATATATTTGTAATAAACGCAATGGCAATCCACCTGCAGCCCTGCCTTTTTGGGAGGATGAAGCCAACGTGGCAGGTGTTCCCAAGCAGAGCTGACTGCAGACGTTCTGTTAACATACAGGCAAACAAGGCAGTCTTCGGACAAATCCCCATTCTAATTGCCTTAGCTCCAGCCTTTGGCCAAAGAAGAGGACTACATCTCGTAGCTCCAGAGAGACTTCTGCAAAAGCAGTTCTGCGGTTTTGCAAAGGGGGGAGAGGATTTAGCCAAGACTTCTCTAATACCTGGACTCAGCTCGCTCTTCTCTTTCTGCTTTCAGGATGGTGCATCGATTTAGACAACTGGATGCAAAGGTACTTGTATTTCAGACTGCTCTGGGGATGTGC